CATACTGATATTTCTGCCTCATATACTACATTGCAGTTCCACACGTCTTCAGGATTCCGCCTTTCCACATTCTCGTAATAAGGTTTTGCGGCAGAAAGGCACTAGTTTTACGTGTATAGTCACCTATGCGGACCTTTTTAGTCTACCGAGATATGATTTTAGCGTGGATAAGAAAGGGCTCTCCCATCAGCCTCCGATTTTAGGGTCGTAGGCCTCATAATCCCTTCGCGGCCAACTTATGGGCTGCATTGATAGCAGTATCGGTGTGCTGAACTCCAGCATTGCAAAGAAAAACCGGGTTTATTCTAGTTGATAACTGTACCAAAAAGCCGGAGAAGAAAGGTGTGCATTGCCGATGGCTGAATCTGTAATGCTTCGATAACTTCGTTGACCTTTGATAGTCACTTTAATCTCTAGTTTAAAGCCATGTTTGAACGAATCGAGGTCGTCTTCAAATCACTCGCCGTTAATGTTGCTAAAGATACCAGTGGTTTGTGGTCATGCTCTACATATTGCTTCCGAATAAATGTCTCCCTAAAAAGCAACTGCTATATAGCATGAATCTATTGTAGGACAACGTGCGGTTCAGCGCATATATTCTTGTGTAAATTACATTCACCTTAGTCACTGAATTGGCGAGGCTGACATTTTCAATCCTCCAGGAGTTAACCCAGCCCTCCAGCCCTTTTGTGCGTCGATAATAAGGCTACCGCTTCCATGCTCGGATAACTTGAGGGTTTGAGTTATCAGGAAACTTCTCCACGACAGTAGTTCTTGAGTATGTTTTTAATGAGCCTCAACCTTCTCTCCCCCTTCTTGTGGAAACATAGCTCTAGTGTACCAGAGCCTGCAGTCATCAGAGGTCGCCTGCCTAACCTAATAAGCCTTTCCATTTTCTACTTTGGCACCCCTTAATTAGTGATGGAGGGTGCTTCCGCGGGTGCCTGTGTGCGCTCCCCGTGCAATCTCTAAGTAAGCACCATCATAAATGGACATTAAAATGTGATTTTTTAGCTCCAGCGAAAGCTACACACGAATCCTCACAGCTGGAGGTAGCATTCATGTCTGCACCTGCAAAAAAGACCTTAGAATAGAGTAACCTGCGTTTTTAATGATAGGCTGAACGTGTATAATTGATAATTAGTAGCGAGGCGTTGACGTATTTGTCTGTGCGATGGAGACGGTCGGTAACACTCATAGGTAGTCACTATCTTCAAGGTGGTGCAGCCGTTTATTTCGCGGCCATGGAAGAAAAGTAATCGTGGAACTGGCTGGTCTTGGACCTATTTTCCTGAGAATCTAGCATCGTGTATTTTTAATTTTATTCTTTTTTTATTTGGATACAACCGCGGTTTTACTCTCCCCTCTATTCATCATTGAACTGAATACTTGTCATTTCCTGGAGATCTCTTTCTAGCTAACGGCGAATTGAAATGGCTCGTCGTGACTTAGGAAATTGGTTCTCGAGGCAATTGCGATACCTTCTGGTGCATGTACAGTAAATAGCAAGCAGTCAACCACCATTCTTATCTTGAATACTCACTTTTGAGTGTTGAAATACTAATTGTGTTGTGGGGAGAAGGAATTTTTTTGTTTGGCTGTTCGACTATTTGGACTTTCCACTCTCCCACATTTTGGCCGCCACATCAGTGGTACGGAGCTGTGTTTATGTGACCTGCAGTTAATTATCTTACCCTTCTGTGGGTTGATAATAAACCTCCTTTCGGACTGGCGTGCCTTGTCATGCCAACGTGCCATGCACTGGTGGTGGTGGCAGGGGACTCCGACCCATACCAACGGCGTCACATCTAAACACCACTGAGGAGCGTCGATTGAGAGTGGTTCAAGTTGTGGAGACTCGGAACAGGAGGGCTTTCACTCCAGTCTTGGGGTTGTTGCATAGTGGTAAGTAATGAAAAAGTTATTCGACATTAAAATATTGAATCACGAGTATTAAATGAAGAGGCTTGGAACTAAGAGAGGCGTTTGGATATCATTAAACATAAATAGTGATGCATAAGAGTTGAGTTGCTACTTCACTCGCCGAGCGCTTGTCCCCACGCCCATTTCAATGCCCTTAGAAGCGAAAACTGAGAAAGAGACATCGTATGATCTTTTGATGCATCCAACTACCCACTGAGGACGACATTTGAAGGAGAGGGGTTGTTTAATAGAAGCATATCTGTTTCCACTGTATAGTCAACAAGTCGACCTAATCAAGTCACCTACAAATCGGCTGAAATGT